TGTTACTAAACAATTCATTTTTATACCCTGTTCAGCAAATTCATCAATAATATTTTCAATATAAGAATATACATCAGTCCATCAAGATCTTTCAGTACTAATATCTTCAGCTTTCCATATAAGATTACGACCAGATGATGATACTAATATTGTACCCAATATCTTTTGTTTTCTGACATTGGTCCAACCATCAAAAATAACAGACACACCAAGTTCATCTTTTTTGGCAATAATTTCTAAATCTTTTTTTAATTTATTTGCTTCTTCATTCAAAATTCTACCACCTAATGTTCTACGATCTGGTAGTTGTATTGTTGGGTTTAACCAAGAAAAGAGTTCTTTTGTTTCTGGATTATTTATCCATTGAAAAGAAAATCCATTGGAGACTGTCATGTGAATTAATAATTGTTCAAATTTTTTCATGTCATTGCCTTTAATAGAATGAGAAAGATATGATTGAATATTTTTTACATTTGACTTTCTATTTGTATTAATATCTATTAATGATATTTAAATAAAGTTATTATTTTTATCTTATTCTTTTTTAATAAATAAATACACTGAAATTCATACCAAATCTTTTTTATTTTTTTTATATTGGTTACTTCCTTGAGGCATTGAAAGAGTAATAAGTTGTGTGTGATTGTTTACATTCTTTACAGTGATAAAATTATTGCGAGAAATTTTTTATCTTTGTATGACAAAGTCCAAATAAAGTCTCTAGTCCCAGTCCAATTGGACTGGTCCAATGTACAAGCCACTTTTTTTACTGCGCTGATTGGACTGGCAATTTTGACAACACTGTGTGTGTATGTCTCTTCTCTCTAATTTTGATGTTTTATTTTTTATGTTCACGAGGAAATTTGTTATAAAAAAAAAATTCCACGTTTTTTTTAAATAAATTGGTTTTACGGCAAAGTCATTCCAAACGAATGAATACCTTTTATGGTAAAATTACATATTAATATTAAATTATTAACAGATTACGTACGCGTTAAAAAAAAATTTTTTTTTTATGATTCACTCCATCGCGTATTTTCCAATTCAATTGAATAATTATTATCATTATTATATAAATAAAATTTATTTATTTTTAATTACACAAAAACTAACCCTTATGCATTTTTGAACATTTGGCTGTGTGGCACAGCAATGGGTGTTTCTAGACCTTCGTGGACCATAACATATAAGACCGATGATAATGCTAAAATGAAAAAAAAAAAATAAATATTAATATTATTAATAATATATGTAGTGTGATCTTACTTAATCAGCATTAAACATTTCAGTTATAGGCTAGATTCGGAGATGATAAAAGTATGGTAGTACATTATCGATTACTGTTATATGTTCCAACTTGTGACAGGACGATCTGATAAATGGTTGCTTAGGTCCATAATAGACTTTGAGATATTATAGAAGAATACCATGCCATTACATATAATTGGGAAGGCTGATATGTGCACGTCCCTTCTTCAGTCTGGAAATTTAGGTATGACGAGTGTTTGGTTTGCATACTGAGCTTATCTTAGAAACCTTTCTGTCATTACGTCTTCATCTTTTATGCTGAGGGGAAAGCTGTTGATTTAAACCATTCGTGGGCCGAAGAAGAAGAAGATAAAACTCAAGTTGATGACAGAAGCGTTGTTCTGAAAGTGGAGTTTTTTAGCTTGAAAACACGGACAATTATGTGAAGAAATAGAAATTTCTGTTGATTTGAATAGACACCCACTTTTGAAGAGTATTGTAAATTCATTACAAAAGAAGTTTCTCATTACAGAATTGAAATGTGGAGTGGTCTGTAATGAAAAAGAAACCGATCAGTTGGCATTTCTATACCAAAAATTAGTGTCCGTTGGTTTTGAATAAAATAGGAATAATAACATCATACTATACTTTATTCTTTAAAGAATGATTAATTAATTGATAAGCTACATATACTTAATAAGGAAGGAAAGAAAACGCTTCACATATGATGTACAATTTTAAACTGAGTATGCGCAGGGAGTTTTCATATTTGTAAAAGTTCTTTTTTTGTTGCGCTGGCTAATTTCCACACCTTAACGCCACCATGCAAATTCAATTCTGTTGTTAATGATAAAAGATGCCAGAGAAACTAATTGTATTTACGCCTTTTCATGATTTTTGGAACCAATTGCAGCTGTACACAAATCAGAGATCAGAGATAAAATAGTTTGTATATTTCTTTTAGATTTTTTATTTTTAGTTGTCAATCATGAACGTTTTACGATCAAAGATAAAGGCTCCCAGGGCAAGTCCATCAATATTTAGCAACTTGAAATACCGCTGATGGATGAATACCTAAATTGTCACTGTGTAAAAAACATTCATTGTATAACTAAGGTGAAACACGGTTTCCAATTGAATATTTGCTTTGTCCACCATTGACGTTTTACGATCGAAGATAAAGACTATTAAGACAAGACTGCCAATCGTTGGTCATTTTGAATGGCTTAAAATACCAGAGCAAGATGAAAATTAAAAATTGATACAATCAGAATTTGTTAAATCAAAGCCAATGTTTTCAGAAAAAATATTTGGTTTAATAAATCTAATAAAATCAGCTTATAGAGATAAATTTTAATAGGTGGATAATAAAAATCTATTGGCTTATCGAAGCATTACCTGATCGAGTTCTGACTATAACATTTGTTGTGTGTTTCTGATTAAATATTTTTGCTTTGATCAGCTCTGACATTTTGTTTTTTTGGTTGTATGGGATGTTCTGAAATATAACGATTAGTTAGGGCACCTATATAATATGGTGATGTAAAGTCTGGAAACTTGAACTATAAAAGACTTTAGTTCGTGGTAAAATGTCTGGTACAAAACGATCCAAAGAGAGAGGTGAAAAACTTAAGCCATTACTAATACATAAGTATGAAATCCTCACACTATTAAGGGAATTGACAAAACCAAAACTTTTAGTATATTATTACTTGAATAAAAAGCCTGGATGCAGGCATCAATTTTTCAAATCGGATATAAGCAAATGAAAACAGAAAATAAAAAATTTATTATGTTACTTGATAATGCTGTTAAACTTCTTATTTTTCTGCCAACACCACAGCTCATCTCCGGCCTCTTGATGCTGGAATTATTTGGCCATTTAGGTTGTTACGCGACTTCTTGATGCATCTTTAGTTTAATATGAATAATATAGTCCTCAGTTGTTAATGATTCTTTATAGTATTCATTCATTATTTTTGCAATTCTGATTCACTATTTTTATAATTAATACAATCATATAAACCATCTTTTACCTTTTCTCATGAATGAATGATAGTTCGTTTTTAACATTCTCCCGAGCAAGTTTTGAATGCATTCATTTTTGTTTTCTGCTAATTTATATAGATCAAACATCTCAAATACGGTTTTGACAAAGAAGCTTTTTATATAATAGCTCCTTATTTGTATACAACAAGAACAAGAGCCAAAGTTTATAGTGGAATATCACGTATTGGAGAATTAAAAAGTTTTTTTTTAATAAGTCGGTGAAATGTAAATAAACAAAAATGCATATAATGTGTTTTATAACTTAATTTGTGATACGTGAGACAAATGCAAAGGTTTCATATTAATATTAATATTAATATATTGTAGAATTTGGCGCAAATTTTCGCAGATCACTAATTGAAATTTTCCGGAACCCATACTTCATTCCTAAAAAACTACTATTTATACGAATTTATAAATTGTATTTGCAAATGTAAT